GGTTTTTTCTTCCCCCCCCCTTTTCCCCCCCCCCCATTCCCCCCCCCCCCCCCCCCCCCAATGCAATTTTCATATTTCCGACATTGTTACTTGTCGATAGTCTATAAAAATAGGAGGGAATAATTCGAAGATTTCTTTTCAAATAGAAAATGCATCGGATGTTGGTGTGTCATGTTGAAAAATTTACAAATGGCCTCTGGAAACCTCCCAGATGACGTTGTGTGAATGCTTTTGTATCAACTTCATCTTAAATATGAAAAAACAGTTTTTTTTTAAATTCCGGCTGACTAAAGAATTAAATTGCTAAGCTCATGAACCATAGTTGAATTAAACAAAAATGAAATTCATCTACTGCCAAATTTATATACAGTCGCCGCCCATACAACTGGAAATCACTTTGTGAATTACTTCACGTATTTGTATTCGATCATGCCCGGATGTAGGCGTTGTCAATAAACTTGTCTGTCTTTTTTATCGTTAATGCTAATTATCCAAATGCGCAAAAAATGGTTGCGATGCCTAAAATTATCATTTATTTATTCATAGGTCCAAGAAAGTAACGTTGTCCTTTAAGGTTTTACTCTCCACTAGGCCTAGCACAGGTGCAGACTGTGTTACCTAGTCATTTTCATTGGAAGCTTGTCAGGGGATTTCTGTTTAGGAAGTGCCTACCTAGCCGCCCACCGCCTTCAGCTTAAAAGTGCGTTAACAAGTAACTTCTCATAAATCAATCTCGTTCACAAACTAACTTTCCGTTCACTACCCATCACTAGACGATTACTACTTACAATTTCCTGCCATATGCGTGTTGATGTTTGTTAACAATTTCTCTTTCTCCGTAGAGGAGGTGTTGTTTTAGGCATATTGCCAGGCTCTGTTACCTGACGCTGACCTAAGAATACGCGCTGAAATAAAAGACTCAGAACATGTCTTTTCAGTCCTGCCTTTATTGATCACGCACTTTAATGTCGGTGAATGTAATGACTTGTAGTACTTGTGTTACTGGCGAAACTATAGTGAAAAGAAAGAAATGGATTTATAATAATGAAATAATAAATAGCGAAAGACTGAAATACAGTAAATAAATACACAAAATAAATAAAAGTAGAGAGAGAGAGCTAGGTAGCGGCGTTTATGTTAACAACAACAATGTAAAATAGCACTATAAACACAGACTTAACTATTCTATTCCTTGAACTCTCCCAATTTATAGAAATATTTCACTCGTATATGTGTAATGAATTTTACTGACGCATTCATACAATCCGTAATAATGAGGCAAGTTCTTAATCGACTAAGAAGCAGTTGTGAAGTGGAAATATTTAATTCTGTCTAGGGTTTTTACAGCTTAAATGACCGCGAAGTAGAGCAATACCTTTTATTCATATCCGTAAAAGATGTAACACTGGAGCAACAGTACCTAAAACCCCCTTTGCACTGGTATGGACGGCGTCCAATCTGCGTCCCTCTCCGATCAAAAATGTGGTCAGGACTCGCCAAAGCAATTTTATCGTGTCTTGGTTTAAATGCTTCTGCCTCCCTTGTGCGTCCGTTGAACGACTGAAAGTAGTTTTTACTTGTTAACCTGCGAGAGACATCTGAGCGACCTACGCGTCCTCTGAGCGGCCTGTCTGTCTGTCTGTCTGTCTGTCTCATGAGGAAGTCACGGCGTCCATTACGATGTTTGAGCGACAGTTGCGCATCCTGTTTGCGTTCATTGTACACAAAGGCACCTTTATCGTACATCACTAATGACCATTCTACGATCTTTCTGCCTCCTGCTTGACCGATGGGTGTTGATTGGGTGTCCTGTGACATATTCTGACTTTTAATATGCTTTCATCAATTCTAAGCCGGTAACCTAATTACGAACGTCTCCAGAAAACAAAACAAATAATTCAGAATAAACTTCTTTTTCAAACTACAGTAATGCAAGGTCTGCATGGATTGGTAATAAGTCAGATTACTATTTTATAATATTTTTTAAAAAAAGAATACGCATTCTGCAAAAAAAAAAAAAAAATTGCCAAATGAACTGCATCTTGAAAAAAAGCAAAATACTAATTTTGATCGGTTCAGGATTTTAGAAAAGAAATACTTATTGGAGGACGATATGAGACCACAAGTTGCTGTAACCCGTAGATTTTCTCCCATGGTAAAAAAAAATACCCGAGCACGACCCCATTTGAAAGTTAAAAAATAATAATTTGCGTGCCAACAACTGGCCGATCATTGAGCTCTCATTGTGCAACCAAAGTGATGCTTGTGCGTCCTCTCTGCTTCCATATATGCATTGAACATGTTCAAAACTTAGTGGCGACCATGGCGTCCTCAGCGTTGTTTGAACTTGCTGTGTACGATTTTAGCCATCACCGTGCGTTTTTTGAGAATTCAACGGCGACCTGGCCAGTTTCATGGCTGCACAAAGGACGCCGTGCAGTGTAAAGGGGGGTTTACACTGAACGATGTCATCTACGAGCACATCTTTGATCGTAGAAGGGGCGCAAAAAAGGACGCTGTCTCAGTATCAACGGGACTTAAACAGTCATGGCAATATAAGCCAATAAAACTTATTAAGCTGGTCACAAATTGTCGTAATAGACTTTTTTAGTGACAACTTTTCCCGCTTAAGGCGCTACTTGACGGGGCAGCAGGCAAGCTATAGTCAAGAGATGCGAAGAGAAAAGTACGAACACGATGAAAAAAAGGGACAAGAAATAAAAACAATTTGACAAAATATGGTAGCAATGTAAGTTGATTGATCTTTATTCCGTAATTAAAGGCCTCCGACCCAAAATACTAGCCCAACTTCACCATAATTTTCTACTAGTTGTAATGTAACTATGTACACTGTATAAATATGAACGTATATTCATAATAGTCCTCTTTTTGAACATTTTAATTTATTGTAAACGTTATAATAGTCAC